TTTTGAATTTTTGCATTTCTTAGCACTTAGTGCTTACATAGGATAAGATTCTACACAGGTGACCTGGCATTTGAAGGAGAGCACTTTTAATTCCTGCAACCGCATTGACAAATGGGGAGAAGGTTGGCAGTGAGACAAGGAAAAAAGAGAGGAACAATGAGGAAGTCAGTCTCTGGGCAGGCAGCAGCGCTTTGCCTGGGGAATCTCCCTGTCCAGAGGCCTCTGCTGGTCTGTGCCAGGGTCGGAACATTCACTCACGTGCATGTAAGTCTTGGCTTGAGAGCACTCAACCTAGCATGATGGTGGGCTCTGGGAAGAAAGAACCAGCACCAGCTAGGGCCAGTGGTAAGAAAAGAAATCCTTGGGGCCGCCCCGAGGCTAAGTGGTTAAGTCCGCTTGCTCCACTCTGGCAGCCCAGGGTTTCACCAGTTTGGATCCCTGGCAGGGACATGGCACCGCTCATCAGGCCATGCTGAGGCAGCATCCCACATAGCACAACCAGAGGGACCTACAACTAAAAATACACAGCTATGTACTGGGGTCTTTGGGGAGAAGAACAGAGGAAAAAAATTGGCAACAGATGTTAGCTCAGGTGCCAATCTTTAAGGGAAAAAAAGGAAGAAAGAAAAGAAATCCTCTAATCGGAAATGGGTTTGTTGTGGTTCTTCATAAATGTGTATTTAAAAAGTCATTTATTAGTTGTCTACGTCAGGATAAACCCACAGCTCTCAGCTTTGCTCTTCCTGGTAGACTCTCACAGAGAGAGAATACAGAATACAGGTGCTTCCTTTCATGGTGCCTCAGTTTATTGCAGATATTGCTTTTTTTTTTCCCACAAATTGAAGGTTTGTGGCAACCCTGTGGCAGGCAATCTCTTGGTGCCATTTTCCAACAGCATTTTCACTCTGGTCTGTGTGTCACATTTTGGTAATTCTCACAATATTTTAAAATTTTCCATCATTATTATATTTGTCATGGTGCTCCATGATCAGCAATCTTTGATGTTACTATTGTAATTGTTTTGGGGTACCACAAACTGCATCCATATAAGACAGCAAACAATTAATAAATGTTGTCTGTGTTCTGACTGCTCCACTGACTGGCCAGTCCTCCATCTCTCTCCCTCTCCTCTGGCCTCCCTATTCCCTGAGACAGCAATATTGAAATTAGGCCAATTAATAACCGTACAATGACCTCTAAGTGTTCAAGTGAAAGGAAGAGGCGCACCTCTCTCACTTTAAATCAAAAGCTAGAAATGATGAAGCTTAGTGAGGAAGGCATGTTGAAAGCTGAGACAGGCTGAAAGCTAGGCCTCTTGTGCCAAGCAACTAGCCAAGTTGTGAATGAAAAGGAAAAGTTCTTGAAGGAAATTAAAAGAGTTACTCCAGTGAACACACAAATGATAAGAAAGTGAAACAGCCTTCTTGCTGATGTGGAGAAAGTTTTAGTGGTCTGGTTAGAAGATCAAACCAGCCACAACTTTCCCTTAAGCCAAAGCCTAACCCAGAGCCAGGCCCTCACACTCCTCAATTCTGTGAAGGCTGAGAGAGGCGAGGAAGCTGCAGAAGAAAAGCCTGAGGCGAGCAGAGATTGGTTCCCGAGGTTTAAGGAAAGAAGCCGTCTCCGTAACATAACAGCACAGGGTGAAGCGGCAAATGCTGATGCAGAAGCTGCAGCAAGTTCTCCAGGAGATCCAGCCAAGATCATTAATGAAGGTGGCCACACTGAACAGCAGATTTTCAATGTAGACGAAACAGCCTTACATTGGAAGATGCTTCATCTAGGACCTTCATAGCTGGAGAGGAGAAGTTAATACCTGGTTTCAAAGCTTCAAAGGACAGGCTGACTCTCTTGTTAGGAGCTAATGCAACTGGTGACTTTAAGTTGAAGCCGGTGCTCATTTACCATTCCCCCAATCCTAGGGCCCTTAAGAATTATGCCAAATCTACTCTGCCTGTGCTCTGAAAATGAAACAGCAAAGCCTGGATGAGAACACACCTGTTTAAAACATAGTTTACCCAATATTTTAAGCCCACGGTTGAGACCTACTGCTTAGAGAAAAGATTCCTTTCAAAATATTACTGCTCATTGACAATGCACCTGGTCACCCAAGAGCTCTGACGAAGATGTACCATGAGATTAATGTTGTTTTCACGGTTGTTAACACAACAGCCGCTCTGCAGCCCATGAATCAAGGAGTAAGTTTCACTTTCAAGTCTTATTATTTAAGAAATACATTTCTTAAATATAGCTGCCATAGAGAGCAATTCCTCTGATGGATCTGGGCAAAAAAATTTTTAAACCTTCTGAAAAGGATTCAGTATCCTAAATGCCATTAAGAACATTTGTGATTCATGGGAAGAGGTCAAAACATCAACACTAATAGGAGTTTGGAAGAAGTTGATTCCAGTCTTCATAGATGACTTTTAGGGATTCAAGACTTCAGTGGAGGAAGTAACTGCAGATGTGGTGGAAACAGCAAGAGAACTAGAATTAGAAGTGGAGCCTGAAGATGTGACTGAATTGCTGCCGTCTTGTGATAAAAGTTTAATGGATGAAGAGTTACGGTTGAGCAAAGAAAGTGGTTTCTTGAGATGCAATCTACTCTTGGTGAAGATGCTGTGAAGATTGTTGAAATGACAACAAAGGATTTAGAACATTACATAAACTTAGTTGATAAAGTGGTGGCAGGGTTTATGAAAACTGACTCCAATTTTGAACTAAGTTCTACTGTGGGTAAAATGCTATCAAACAGCATCACATGCTATAGAGACATCATTTTGAAAGGAAGAGTCAATCAATGTGGCAAACTTGTCTTATTTTAAGAAAGTGCCATGGCCACCTCAACCTTCAGCAACCACCACCCTGATCAGTCAGCAGCCAGCAACAGCAAGGCAAAACCCTCTGCCAGCAACAAGACTATGACTTGCTGAAGGCTCGGATGATGGTTAGCAATTTTTAGCAATAAAATATGTTTTACTTAAGGTGTGTACATTGGTTTTTTACACAGAATTATACTGCACACTTAATAAGTTACACTATAATGTAAATATAACTTTTGCATGCACTGTGACTTGCTTTATTGCGATATTAGCTTTATTGCGGTGGTCTGGAACTGAACCCGCAGTATCTCCAAGGTCTGCCTGTACAGAAACTCGTGCCCAGGATGGTCTATGAAAACTGCTGCTTGATCTACGTGTGGTTCTGATTCAGAGCAACTCCACGGCTGTAGGCTTGAGAGAGGCCATCCATTTTCCTGTGTGTGTGAGCACATGTGATTTGTTTACTTTGCAAAAGATTTTGTCTTTAGTTTATTTAGTCCCTTCATTGAATTTTTATTTCTTTCAAGTTAAAATTTACCTTTGAGGGGGCCAGCCCAGTGGCACAGTGATTAAGTTCACACATTCTGCTTCCGTGGTCTGGGGTTCGCCAGTTCGGATCCTGGCTGCGGACCTACACACCACATGTCAAGCCATGCTGTGGCAGGCATCCTACATATAAAGTAGAGGAAGATGGGCATGGATGTTAGCTCAGGGCCAGTCTTCCTCAGCAAAAAGAGGAGGATTGGTGGCAGATGTTAGCTCAAGGCTAATCTTCCTCAAAAAAAAAAAAATTTGCCTTTGGGAAGTCACATTTTCATTTTACAAAAATCTTTCCTTTTTGGTTATCTCCCACATAAAAGTAAAACCACTACATGGGTTTCTATGTATGCAATATACATTTTCCACCTCTCTGGATTTGCTGACCTCCTGCCCGGAAGCATGTTTACTGTGAGGTTGGATATTGAAGGCCACACCCCTGTGCTAGAGCCTCACCACTTTGTCCCTCCCTCCCTCTACCTGGTCCTCCTGTGGGGGGCGGGGTGGGGGGTGGGGTGGTAAGTTGCTTCGCACAGGTGAGGCAAACTGGCTAGAGAGCACCTTGGTTTGTGATGCTTTGAGGCAATTATTTCTCTTCAGCAAAACCTGGAAGAGAAACCAGTGCTGGTGCTATTTAGAACCACATAAATGGATTTCATTATAAATGAGCAAGAATTAGTAACTTATTGCTTTGAACAAGATATTTATACTACCCTTGAAAATGCAATGCCTGGCACATAATTGCCCAATAAATGCTTGGATGTTAGTGAATAACTGAGTGAAAAGAATACAGCTGAATTCTCCCAGCAGCAATTCTCCTCCTAGTCCATGGCCGACTAAGCACTAGTCTTCTAGCCCTTCCATCCTTGCCTGTCTGGATCTCTAGCTTAAATATTTTGATTAAAATGGCCCCTTGGGTTAAATAATAAATTTAGTCAGAAATCAAACAAATCACAGATTTAACTGAAGTGCCTATTTTATACAATGAATTGAGAGAATTCCTCCAAAACAGGCAAAAGTTTGTATATAAATACAACCTGAATTTTACTTTTATTTTTATTTTTTTGCCTTTTGGGGTTATCACAGAAGCTTTCTCCATTTTTCCTGCCTTCAGAATGCTAGATGAAGAAGAAATTGGTTAATTAGGCAGATAGATAGAAAGAAGCATAGTGCTGGAGGAATAAGAAAACCCCAAGCTGTGTGTGGCTTTCCTGAAAAGTGAGGCGGCTGGTTGGTCTCTATCCGATTCCCATGGTACCAGCCATCTTGATCCTGCCGCATTCACCCATTGGGAAAGAATCTTCTTTCTCTTCCAATAGCTAGTAATTCCAGCAACTCCTCGTGTCTGTATTTCCCCAGGCTTCTCTGAGAATGTTCAGCAACAACCAAATGGCTGCCCAGCAATCTCGAGAGAATAGGTAGGAGAGGCCTGGCTCTGGGCCTGGGGAGATGGGGGCAATTTTCCATGGAACCCTTTTCACTTGTGTGGCCTGTAGGTGGCGGAACTGGGTTGCATAGGTTCCACAGATGAACGATGGGTCTTGAGTGTTTGTGCTCTTGCCTGAAAATGGCTGTCAAGAGTTAAGCAACAGAGAGGTGTCACAGTTAGTACCTGACTATTAACCTCTTTTTCTTTCCTAGGGAATGCAGTCGGATTTTTGGTGAAGATGGCCTGACGTTGAAGCTCTTTCTTAAAAGAACTGCTCCCTTTTCTATTCTGTGGACTTTGACTAATTACCTGTATTTACTGGCTTTAAAGAAGCTGACAGCCACAGATGTCTCTGCTCTGTTCTGTTGTAACAAAGCCTTTGTCTTCTTGCTGTCGTGGATCGTGCTGAAAGACAGGTTCATGGGCGTGAGGGTAATGGCACACTTGATTCAATGCGTGAGGCCGCCCTTAACGTAAATCCTGGGCGTCAGGAGAGCTGCTTTGTTTCATGGACTTTCTGTAAAACTTTTCCCATTGGTTCTGAGTACGAATTGGAATTTGAAGATGCATTAAGATGCCCAGGCAGTTACAACAACATGAAAGGACAAAGAGATTGTTTTCATTGGGCAGTCTGCTAATTTCAACAGGAGGCACTAAAACTAAAGGGAAAATAAGTTCTTTTTTTAGAATTAATGGTGTGATCAACGCCTTCTTTCCTCAGGAAAGAAGAATCTGAGAAAATTAGCCACAGTAAAGATTATGATTTGCTTTTTTCCGATCAATATATGTTGGGACAACTCCCTCGTGCTTTTTTCTTTTTGCCCCCAGAGATAGATTTAATTAATATTGGTGTAAGCAGATAAAATTACCAAACAGTAATTAAAGTCACTGGTGATGGCACAATGCTGTTAAAAGTGGCTATATATCTCGTGTGACTAATCTAGAAGTGGAACTAAAAGCAACAACTTGTCCTTTTGGGTACAAATCCTTAATTGAACTGTATTAAACTTCCAACCACTTCAGTTCTGAGTTTATTCCTTTCAGAAGTATCATAGATTTAAAAATAAATTTTTTTGTATGCTTGTTCTGTTAGATTGATTGAAAGCCATGCTGCTTTAAGGAGCCAGATCTCACTCATATAATCTGGCATGCTCCCATGATGAAAATATTGAGAAAATCATTCTTTAGAAGGTCCAGATAAATAGCTTTTTCTCAGAAGATAAACGCCACACAATTATTGTTCTCTGAAAGAGATGTCCAAGATTGGATTTGAAACATACTTTGCTATCAAAATATTGCTCTATTTGCAATGATTCCGGGGTCCTTGCCTCCATAAATGCTGAAATTAATGTCCATATTAGAGAGAGAGTTTGTGATAGCCATTAACCCTGAAAACTCTTTTTTCAAATAACCCATTAACAAATTCTGGTTGTATCTTTGGAGATGCTGCTCAGAAATTCAAAACTGAAGCTTGACATGAGCAAGAAGTAGAAAGTCATTGTAGAAGATAAGAAAGTGATTCAGTCCATGATATCATTAAAATATACCCAGATGTGGTACCACACTCTCCACCAGCTGATCTTAGATTTGACCACCAAAGGGCTTAGCATCATGTTTCTATATGTGGACCATTGATGCTGGCTGTCAGCATTAGGTACCCTGACAAGTCCTTGAGAGCAGGGACTTCCCAACATTGCTCACTGCTCCATCAGAATGGGCTACATAATTTGTGGGGCCCAGTGCAAGAAGAAATGCAGGGCCCCCTGTTAAAAAAAATTATTAATAATTTCAAGATGGCAACAGCAGAGCATTAAACTGAGGTTGGGGCCCTTCTAATCATGGAGCCCTGTGCATCTGCACAGATCATATGCCCACGAAATCAGCTCTGCCTCTGACACCTAGAGTATACAGGGGACAATCAATAGATATTTGAAGATATAGTGAATGAACTCGTGCGTATGAGATCACTCTCTTTTCTCTCTACTACCCCTGTGGATCACCCATGAGAATTTGAAGGGCCTTGTTAGAAGAGGGGGAAAGAGAGGAGATTTAGGGGCTTTTCTGCTCTTTTAGTGGCTTCTGAACACCAAAGGAAATATACATTTACTATTAGATTTACCAGTGAGAAATCAATTGTATTAGAATGAATAAACGCATTTAACCATGAAAGTTACTGATGGAAGAGGTCATATCAAAAGAAGTTCAATATTTATTTGAGATCTTTTAGGGAAAAAAAAAGTCAGCTGTGTAACTTGTATTGAAATCACAGATTTAGGAAATCTGCCTAGAGGCTATAAACCGTTGCCTCTCTAAAACTGGCCCCCAATAAAATGTCCACATCCTAATGCCTGGAACCTGCGAATGTGACCTTATTTGGGAAAAATGGTCTTTGCAGACATACTTAACTTAAGGATCTTGCAGAGAGGAGATCATTCTGGATTATCTGGGTGGCCTTAAATCCAATAACAAGTATCCTTATAAGAGACACACATAGGAGAGACACACAAAAGAGAAGGAGGTGATGTGGCCACAGAGACAAAGACTGGATTGAAGTAGGCGCAAGCCCAGGAAAGCCAGGGCAGCCACGGAACCTGGAGGAGGCAAGGAGTGTATTCTGTCCTGGAGCTGCCATCGGGAGTGTGGCCCTGTGGGTTCTGAATTTCTGGCCTCCAGAACTGTAAGAGAATAAATTTCTGTTGCTTTTAGTCACCAAGTTTGTGGTAATTTGTTACAGGAGCTTCAGGAAACTAACACAGCATCTGGGACTAATAAGACCTGAGAGAATGAATGCTAAGTAGCCAATAAGTGCCAGCCCTGGTGGTCTAGTTGTTAAGATTCAGCGCTCTCACCACCACAGCCCAGGGTTTGTTTCTGGTCAGGGGACCACATCACCCATCTGGCAGTTGTCATACTGTGGTGGCTGCCTGTTGCTGTGATGCTAAAAGCTATGCCAGTGGTAGTTCAAATACCAGCAGCACCACCCATGGGGAACAGCTTTCAGCAGAGCTTCCAGACTAAGACAGACTAGGAAGAAGGAGCTGGCTACCCACTTCCAGAAATATTGGCCGTGAAAACCCCATGAAGAGCAGCAATAGCAGCAGAGGATCAAATGATACAGTGCAGGAAGGTGAGAGGATGGCCCGAAAAGACCGGTCAGGGTTTCACTCTTCTGGACACAGGGTCTCTAGGAGTCAGAATCGACTCCATGGTGCTAACAGGAAAGCCAGTAAGTACTTGTTAATGAGTATACACATAAATTAAGACATCATAAGTATATACGTAAATTAAGACATCATAAATGGCACAATGGTAAGCAATCATGTCAGACATGCTGGTAGAAGTCAGATATTTTTTGATTTAAATGACAGGAAGTGTTCCACTTCTTACTGTGAAACATTAGAAAGTGTTTAATGGAATGTTCCAGAAGAATGTCAAGGTGTAATTTTAATGATGCCTGTAATCAGGCCGTGGTATATGAGAAGCACCAAAACATATTCAGCATTTTGCTGTTTCACAATATCAGCAATTCTTTCCCTCCTGAGACATGCTGAGAACGTGTATAATTAGGTCATTTGAGAAATTAAAGGAGGGCAAATAGAATACTGACAACATAAATGCAGCTTTTAGTGCCGACATCCATAAATACTCTAAAGCGCAGCCTGTAGATGGCACCCTGCTTGGATTACTCTTTTTTTCAAAATAGTTGAAGGGTTGCTTTCAGTCGTCAAATTAAAATTTATGCTCTTGACTCTTCTAAGGCTTTGGTAGTCTAAAAGCAGATCATTTGGGATTATAATTCTCATTGCTTGAGACGAGAATGATCGCATTTAAGATGAACTCTATGGCCTTCTCTACTTCTATTTTTCATGTAAAAATAACAGTATGAGCAGAATGAGGGATGCTTGACGTTATCATATCAGTAAATGTGAGTTTATCTGGAGTACTAGTTGGCCAGAATATCAGCAATGTTCACATAAAAACTAATTATGTATTATGAATAACTTGTTAAAAATATTTTGTTTCCTTGGACTATTTATTGAATTACAGATGAAAAGGTAATGCACCGTACATTTAGTTTTCTCTTATGAAATCATTTCAACCAATTTGCCCATAAACTTGGATGTGTTAAAAAAACTCTTTCATGAGTAGTTGCTTATAGCCGATGTATGGTCATTCCACGGAAATTAGTAAACTTCTTTAAAAGATCATATTTTTTTTAATTGCAAAAATGTTGGTGAGACTCCAACTCTTGCAGCTTTGAAGATGGGTGTTTTTCCATCTCTAGGATCCTGTCTTTTTTACTAAAGTTCTTAAACCCATGAGCACCAGAGAAACCATTTTAAGAAAAACACGTTCTCCTCAAAGAAAATGAGCCGCTGGCTGGGGTGTTTTCTCTGTTGCTGGCATCTATTTCGCTCCAATGAAAAGTAAATGTCAGACTAGAAAGTTAAAACCCTTTCTTTCAGATCTTGTCCTTCTCTTATTTTTTATATTATTAATTGAAATTTTTCTTTCATTTAAAATTTCCTTGAACATTCAGAGAAAATTGATGGATGGTGAGTAGTTCAGCAGACCCCAACTTTTTTTTTTTTTTTAGCAGATTTAGGAAATAAATTCGTGTCCCTTCAGCTTGGCACCCATGTATTTTTTAGCTGTAATTGGGTCCCTATGCAGTTAACTTCCCAAACTGTGGCTCTTTTGGAGACTTTCCAAGATCCACCAAGGACCAACTAGAGTATATCAGTTACACTGAATCTTTTCATTGCTTGAACTGCACTTCTCTGAGTTGAAATTGGGCTCCAGAGCTCTCTAAATCAGGACAGTGGAGCTGAGCTACTGCTGATTAGTGACAATATTACATATTTAGATAAGATTCAAGATCATCTCTTGTTTCCATCTTGCCTTTGGTTGACATTTATGTAGTAACTGTTCCTTCGTATGCAGTGCGGAATCCTCTATCCAGAATCTTCATGCTTCCTGGAGGAGGTAACAGAGGATGGGTAGTGAAACTCACCACTTTCATTCCCCTCTTGGCAGGAAGATGACTCATGAATACAGAGAAGAGAAATCTGGGTTGTAATGGCTCTCCAATTTTATGCCCACAAGGAATCCATAACCCCCTTAACAAGGTGCAGTCAACAGCTCTGCTTTATCTTCCGCACACACTCGTCAGTCTTTCCTTATGGGATTTCTTTCCTTTTCCATCTTGGTCTCCTTTTGAGATCATTTTCAGATGGATTTTATTTATATAAAAATAGATGTGTCTGTGTGGCGGGGGGTGGGGGTAGGAATCTTAGTCTGAGGCTCTGTACCCCTTGGCTTTGACCTGTCCTGGGGATGACCCTCATCCCCCTCACGCACATGCAGTATCTGAATGTCTAGAGACTGCTCACCTCTTTCATTTCGCACACTTCAACTCTTGTCCAGTTTCATGGATCTGAGTAAGACAGATGGTTCTTCTTCATGGAACCTTAAAGGTAACATGTGGATAAATTTAAAGATTCTGTATAGCCATGATTCCTTGAAAATGGACTCTGTCTAAATATACTCAGATAGAACAGGATGATCATCAGTGCAGGTCTCATTAGCCAAGCTCCTAATGTGTGTCCCATCTTCAGCTGCTGACGTTTAGTCTTGAACTTGAGTACAGCCCTGCCCCTGGCAGCTGAGCTTTGAGGGCCTCCATTGTAGAGTCAGCTGTAGGTATTGTGATGCAAGGGTCCACTGTGAGTCAATGAAGCTCCCCCATGCTCCACCCAGCTTCAGAAACAGACTTAACCACAAGGTAAATTAAGGAAAGATGTTTGGTTACAATTAGAAAAAGAAGCAATTAAAGGTTCATCTCAATATCCTGAACCCTAAGAGCTGGTATTGTCATGTGAATAATAATTCTAGAAACCATTTGTCGATGGGAAACACAGTGAATGCAAAGAGCCTGGTAAACCCTCATGGAGATCCAGAGAAGGGCCAGGCTCTTGTGGATTTTGAGGGCCTGAGCCAAAAGAGGAAAAAAAGGAAGATACAAGAAAACAAAATCAGCCAAAAGCCATGTGCTTCTCTAGCCTTTATCTGGACAAACTAATTCTTGGAGAGGTGAAAGAAACCTAGCTTTCAGGGTCACAGGCGGTAAATAGCACAGTGGGGTCACCTTTAGATGCCGCTTTAGGAACAGGCTCAAACAGCCTCATGGTCCCCTCTGATTGGCCCTGATAGGCTCTCAGAGGGGCCTAGGCCTGCAGAGGAAGGCAACTGGCTCAGGTGATGGCGTTAAGTGGCATGCTGGGGTGATGGGCGAAACGGATCCTCTTCCTCAGGACACTCACCCCAGGTGGGCACACCGTAATGTGAAAGGACAGAGAGGTTTAGAAAGTTAAAAATGAGGCATTGGCACTCCTGTGGTCACTAGGGTTACTAACATGCTAACCCAGATCAGATTCAGGTAATGGTAGCAGTGGGTTTTCCTTCTTATTTAGACACGGCTGGTGGGCTGTGGAGCTGGAACTGGAATGGGTGGTGAGGCCACGTTTCTCCAAATCCAAGCAGGTGGTGCCATGAGACGGTGCGTTTTGATCAGAAGAGTCCCTCATGGATGCTAATGTTCTCAGAAGCATTTTTGTAGTTGTCACCACGAGGATGTGCGAATATGAGCACTTCTGACACAATATTTAAGGCACAGGCTTCCTGCTGACATATTTCCAGTGTCCTGAGCCGGAGAAGAGTCATTTTATGTTTTTCTTTTGAGAAAAACAGAGTATTAATACTTCCTTGATGACTGATTAATTCTGAAAAGGCAAGTGACTCAGATCTGTGTTTAGGTTATCATTTTCTGGAGATTTGCACAGTGTTTCCTCTGCAGTTAAGCAATGGTGCCAAGGAGGGCCACTGTGGGATCATCTGAGTGACCGCTCCAAATAAGCCTTCCACCCATTTTCCTGCAGTTTCTAGATTAGCTGAACTCCCTTCTCTTAGTTCCAACTGTGTAGATAAGAAACATATTGAAAATTTCTTAAAACATGGCCCTAGAGAATTGTTCTATCAGATAGTTGTGAAATTTAAATAAAAATGTGGAAAATAGTTTAACTTATCTCTTCCCCCCAGGAAACCTATATAACCTGTAAATTATTAACCTATATATTACCATTTGTACCACAGAGAAGAATTTTTCTAACGTCTCAAATATTCAGATTTTCATGCTTTTAGAACTTAGCTAACAGCATTGTCTGGCCCCCTGAAGTGAAAAATGCTTCTCTCCATGAAGGCAATTGAAAGAGACACTGGTGTAATTGATATGTCACTTCAAGTGCTCTAGGCTGATATTTTCACAAGCACTTGAATATAAAATGTAATGGAGATCTTAAGAGGCTCATCATGGTTATAATGTTGAATTGCTAGAAAATTATCTTTGTCCATATTCAATTCCTATCTTAAGAAAACTTACAATCGAAATATTGTGCCTATATATTTTTACTAATGGATGTCTCAGAAAAGGGCGAGTTCCCGACTAAGGCCATATCCTGGAGCTAATAGTATTAAATGATCATCATTTTCCAGACAGTATTTTTGTTTTTGCCTTTTTCTTTTTGGTATGGGCTGTTTGTTTTCATAATTTCCTAACCCCAGAATTATATATTATATACAATTGCCTAAACTCAGAAATTATAAATTATGGAATAATTTTAATAATTTTAAATATGAAACAGCACATCATGCTGAAGTTCATTAGGCTTAACACTGCGTTCTATTAACCCTGTCTTGGAGAAACAAACTGTTTATTTGACCAAGAAAATACAACTGATGCTTGCCCAAAAGAAAGCAAATATTAATTTAAATTTACTATCCTACAAGGTCAGTCTTATGAGGGAAACCTGTTGGCACACTTGAATACTGTAACCCATGAGAGTTATGGAAACACAAAAACAAGCCAGAAAATGCCTGTGTCTAATGTGCCCTTTCATTTCTCTGAAATCAGACTGCCCAAAGAATTGTTGCAAATCCCTGGCTGAACCGTAAATCCCCAAATCAAAGAAAATGATAACCCCTATGTAATTTCCAGGGCTAGATAACCCCTTCGCCATGTTTATTTATGAGTCTATTACTTCTTGTTTGGAAAATTCCTTTGCGACTTCATAGTGTGTGTATTAAATTCCATTCCCTATAGTTTGAGGCAGAGTCTGACTAGAATGCACGCCTGGCAGCTTTAGAGGATGGATATGCACTCAGCAAGAGAAACGCCTCCCATCAAGCAGCCGCCCCGGAGAAGGCTTTATGAAGACAGTTTTTCACTGCTGACATGTCAGCGTCTGTTCTCAAGTACTCCTGCTGTTTTTCATAAAAGACGCTTTAGTATGGAGCTGGCTCTGAAACCAACTGTGCGCTTGCTTTTGGTGGTCATTAACAAAACAATTGCTTTAGCAGCATCTAAATTATGTGTGTCATTGTTATCACACTTTGCACTGGCCTGGAGCGAGTCTACAGTTATGTGTTAAAGATCTAGAGTTTGCTGTCATAAATATTTCGCTGATAATGTTCGCAAGAGCCCCCCAAAAATCACATATGTAAAAAAGCCATCTACAGAGGAATTGACTTACTGGGGAATACTCAGAACTGAAGCCTAACAAAATTAATGGCCATGTGTGTTTAAATTTCTCACAAAGGTCTGTGTAGATTTTAAAGTCAATGAGACTATTTCACTAGGAAGTGACTTATTGTTCCCTATTCCAGGGTTATCTTACATGTACTGTAGCTTTGACCTGTTTTCCAGTAGAACCAGTTCAAGATAATTAAAGAAATAGATTCAAAGCAGCATTTCACTAAGGGAGCGGACTCCTGTTTTGAATATACCAAGGATCATGTCAATTTACAGTAAACCATTAATATTTCAATCAAATTATGAATATTTCAGTTATGCAGTTAATTGAATGAAATTATCTTTCTGTGGTTTAATTTGCATGTAAACAAAAAGAAGAACTGGCCTCCATTTGACATTCCAAGTGACAGTGCAAACTCGGCTCACGCCTTATGGATCACTCTGAGAGATTATTCACTTTTTTTCCCCTTGGCCTGAAATTTGCCTCTTAGCTGCGTCAATATGGTGTCTCCCCAGTCAAGTCCTGCTTGTGTGGAGAGCTTCAGACACATGCACTGATCTAAAGAGCTCATTAAAATGTATGCTGAATTGTTTGAAGAAAGAGAATACAGTACGGATGAAAATGCTTAGAAGTGACTTCCTATTAAATTTATTTCAATAATATGGGTATTAATCTCTAGGAAGTTGAGATAAAAAGTTAAACAAAAATTACTAGCCCTCAATTAGTGTGTGAGTCGCTTTTATGTTCTCTGCCTGGAGGTCTCACGAGCATACTGATTTCTTGTTAAAACTGACCCTTCCTACATTTAAACATGATGTATAGGAGGTAGCTGGGTTTGAGGAAGCATTTAACGACTCTCATGAAGTCTTCAATTGCTTGCTCTAGGATATGAAAGCATCAATTTTTTTATTTCTTTGCTTTCTCTTCGACAGATAGTTGCCGCAATAATGGCGATCACGGGCATCGTCATGATGGCGTATGCAGACAACTTCCACACTGATTCCATCGTTGGAGTGGCATTTGCCGTGGGCTCAGCCTCTACTTCTGCGTTATATAAGGTATGCTGTGCACTTTTTATGCAGTTAACTGTCATTCGTAGCTTAGACAAGTAATAAAGTAAGGAAGGACAAAGAAAATCTTTGCTAGAAAAAAATAAGATAGTTTAAATAATAATGAGTACTTGCTGCACGCTGGACACTTACCAGAAAATTTCACCTGTGTTAACACACCCTTATGAAGCATAGGTAACCATCCTCGCTTTCCAGATGAGGAAACCGAGGCTTTGAAAGACTAAGTAATTTGCCCAAGGTCATACAGCCAGGAAGTGATAGAGCCTGGATTTAAACTCTGGCCAACCCCAAAGCCTGCGCTCCAGCCCCAGCCCCTCACAAACCATGGAGCAGCTGTAGCGGGCCTGAGGAAGACCTCTCCTCTCTTGATGTTTCTTTACTTTAACTGTCCGTGGTCATTATTTTAACTCCAATGAGGTGTTCAAAATAATGAACAACCTTGAGAGCTGAGCATTTGCTACATGTTAACCCCTTGCCACAGGGGCTCATGTTATGGGCAAAACAAAGAGGCCCTTCTCCTCTCTGATGGGTGCTCTGTGTCTGCACTGTGTACTCACTGCTCTCTCTCCACTGGAGCTGCCTGTCATCAGTGAACATTCTATTCAGAGTCATCGCCCCTGACTTCAGAAGTGAGTACTAACAGAGCAGATCTAAAAGGTTATTCCCTAAAGCTCCACTTTTCAGAGCCAACTTTCTGGATGTAGCTAAAGGCCCGCTCCACTTTCACCTCTCTCGCTGTTTCAATGAGAAAATGCTCTCTGAAAGGCAGAAAATGCCCTTTGCATCCCTCCTGGATGCCTGTTCTGATTATTCACCAACACTGCGGCTCAGAGGGCATTGAGTCTATATCCATATTGACATTTCCTGGCCCATTGATTCTGTGACAAGCTTGACAAGTGTTCACTCAATCGCCGTTAGTGTCTAACTTGCCCCCAACTGAGACTCCACTGACATGTCTGATCTGACCAAAGACTAGCATGTGCTCGGCTCTCTTGATTAAGTCTCTCAAGAGAAAAAATAACAAGTTCAGTTGAAATTGAAAGCGATAACTGGAATTGTTATGTGACTGGGATGGCTATGTTATAGAGAGAATTCTCCTGACCATGTTACAGATGTATTCACTCTGGGAGTGGTAATATTTGCTGACATGCACAAAATCATATGTGCACCATAGAAAAGATCTGCTCCATCCTACATTGTTCGAGGATTAATATAGGAAGCAGAGGGGTTAAAAAGCCAAGAAATATGGACTAGAGACCCGACTCCTCCCCAGCCTGATGTGTGACTGTAGGTGAGCCGTTCACATATCCTTGTCATTTTTCTCTGTACACAGATTTATAATCCAGAAAAAAAATGTTTTAATCTAGAGAATAAACATAGTATTTGTGAAAATAGTTTAAGCTCAGAGAGAAAAGCGTTGATAAATCCAAAGCATCATTATTATTTCTCTCAGCAAAATAATGCCAGGCTCTCCCTGTCCAATTTATTTTCCAGTATCTGTCAAAATAAGGGTGAAATGAATCCCATGCTTGAAGGGAAGAATTGATGGCATCTCAATCCTAGAAGTTTTTCTGGGCTTGTCTGCACTCTTATTTATCATTCACCCTATACCCCTCACTGATGGTGGTGCTTGACACAGTATACGGTCCCCCAGCAGTTTTCAACACCATAAGGAATTCATTTTCTGGCATTTGCTCGCTCATATGAAGGCTATAGGGCTTTTTAATTCCTTATCTCAACAATGCATTAGGTGCCATGGCGATGGCAGAGTAAGAGAAATGGAGGATAAGCTCTGGGCTGGTGAGTTCACTGTGTAGAGGAATAGAGCTCACCTTTCTGACCCAGCTCTCCAACCGTGTGGCTTAAGAGTCTCTTTCCCATTCCAGGTTTTGTTTAAGATGTTTCTTGGAAGTGCCAACTTTGGGGAAGCCGCACACTTTGTCTCCACTTTGGGTTTCTTCAATTTGATCTTCATCTCCTTCACCCCGGTCATCTTGTATTTCACCAAGGTGGAGCACTGGTCCTCTTTTGCAGCTCTGCCGTGGGGCTATCTCTGTGGGATGGCAGGGCTGTGGCTGAGTAAGTGGTCCCAACTTGCCTTCCATTCCCTTTGTCACTCACCTTTTCTTGGCTTAAATTATCATAGTAGGATTATTCCCTCAGGTACCTCTGTCCTCTATTTCCCAAACTTACCTAAGATTGGTTAATGGTGAGAAGGTTCTTTGTAGGCTATTTCTTGATTAGATCAGAGTTATCCAACTGGTATGTCTCCCATGAGTTAAGGTGTGAGCCGGAGGCCCAGACCACTCTCATCACCAGTGGTCTCCGAGCAGCGTTGTCCATTCTGCATGACGGACTGTATGATGTTATTGTGTTCCATGCACAGTACGTCACGCAGAGGGAGAGAGGGAATGGTATATTCAAGCAACTCGAAGTGGATCCAAATGGCTGGAGCACTGAGCGCAGGGAGAATGGGGAGGGAAGTAGGAGATGACATTCAGGAGGGAAGCAGGTCGTGAAGGGCCTGGAAAGCCATGTTGAGGGGGTTGGATTTAAAATCCACTTAGTAATCTTTAAGCAGGGAGGTGACAAGCTCACATGTGCATTTAAACAGCCCCCTGTGGCCGTGTGTGGAGCACAGGTTTGAGATAGGAAGCCCTCATTAAGCAAGGGAAGAAGCAGAGTGAACTTGGTGGCTGTGCCTGATAAGGAGGCTATGCCTACCTAGTAGACGACCAGTAAAAAGTCACCTGGAGTCTTTTTAATGTCCTGTCTCCAAACTCCCCATAACTCTGGGGCTGTCTGCTTCACCTGAGCAACCAGGGGGCTCCCCCTTTCAACTATGTTGTCGCTGTCACTTGATGTGAGAGGAACTGAAAAATAACAAGCCTGCTCTTCTCTCACCAAGCAGTCAAACAAAAATCACCACCCAGTGACTCAGCGTCTCTTCACTCAGGATCACATCATTTTCCCTCTGCTCCTCTTTCCTCAGACTTCCTAAGGATGGCCCCCTCTGCCTGTTCCACGTTTACCCACCACATTCAACCTGCAGGACCTCTGCCAACCCTCAGTTGACTTCTTTATCAATGTGACGTAATCCGAAACATAATCTGAAACAGCACTGCAATTCCTGGGAGAAAAAAATGCCCTTATTGCATTCCCACGTAGGCATTGAGTCACCTTTTTCTACTCTGGCCTCAGCACGTAAGGGGAGGTCTTACACGAGACAAGAAACCTTCAAGGGAAGGATCAAATGTTAATTGTTAGTCCTTTGAATTCTACTTCTGAAGCCCAAAAATATGTGGTTATGACCTCTCATAACCTCTGCTGAATTGATAGAAACCAACAGCCCTGTTTCCGTAAGACCAAAACATCCTAATTAAAAATGCCTAGTAATTTCCTGGCCAAAAACAATGTAACTGGGAACAAGCATAACCAAAATTTCACTGGCTCTTGGCCCCAGCTGTGTTCACGTGATCTCCAGCTTACCGCAGTCGCCCTCTGCCCGCGTGTATCCTTTGGCGAGTCTAATACATGCTCCTAAGCAAGCCTGCTCAGGCTGGGCATCACCATGCTAGCTGGACACTGGAGTTCTCCACCAGCAGCGTGGTCTGCACACTCCATGAGAGCCGCTCCACCAGGCCCACCCCAGGGCCCTACAGTCCTCACTGTGCCAAAGCTGCTGTCTGAGGAGATAGCCTCTCTCCTGACTGGGTCACACCCCCTGGTTTTCACAACCTTCAGTGCTCCTCCGTAACTACAGCTTCTATTTGCTTAGGTTCACGTTGCCTCACTCCTCTCAGGTTGGCCTTTCAGGCAGTGCCTTCACCCAAATGCAGGTCGGCCTCATCCACTCAGCTGACTTATTTGAGTCCCACTTGAACTCGGGCTAGGCCCCAGGCCACAGATAGCATGTTGAATGATATATTCTTGTCCTTAGGTTGTCAAAAGAGAATGTAAGTATTCCATCCAAAGAACTAAGGAAAAACAGACAACACATTTTGGTAAAGCCCCCTGATTCTTATTGAGTGAGAAGGTCTCAGTTCTCACCCAAGTACCAATACTTTCATTCAATCTGCTAAAATCTCCAGTCCAGCCAATCAAATCACAGATGGGGTGTTGAGCAGAGTCTGTGCTGCATTTATCAAATCCCTGACGTGTTAGAATGTGCCGTATTTGCTTTCAGGGATCTGAGGAGAGAGTGGAGGTGCCCACTGCAGCCCTGCCCTGAAGGAGGAGCAGTTATTAACTTAGAAGCCCCTCTCGCTTGATTGCCGCTACTATTGTATGAAAATGATGAAGGAGCCCAAATCTTGTGGAAGTCAAACCCATTGTCTCTAACTACCAAGCTCAATTGTCTCTAACTACCAAGCTCAAGTGACTCCAGATAACTAAGTTAGAGAGCTGAAGTAAAGCAAGAACTATGGATAACAATAGAAGAATAGACATTGTCCTAACCAGAATTGTTCTAGAACTATCTTTGGTTCTACACAGATATGGGCAATGTAGTTGAGTCATTTCCATAGAAATCCTCTCTGAATTGAGGACCTTTTGTAGTTATTAACACTCATCTCTCTGACCCCTAAAAACATTGGATTGAAATCTGTTAAAGTAATGCTATGTAATTTACAATTGTTTTTCTTTTTGAAAATCTGTATTTTTGTAGAGGGCAGATGATTGTTTTAACTAACTTTATATTTAACCAAAAAGGTCCAAATATATTAATTAAGGGGTATCAAGTTACACCTTCTGTTGGTTCTGTGGTCCTGCCACAAATCAGGATGTGGAAAAGGCTCCTGGGGGTCGGTGAATTACATTGAACACACCTTTGTGAGCCCATGTGATGCTCATCACAAGAGAAGAGGATGAAAAGGCATAGGCTGTCCAGCATAGGATAGAACTTCCTTTAGGCAGTAACACTAGAGCCTTTTAGTCATGCGGGAAAATGGCATAATATCGCAAAGTAACAAACTGATAAAGCCCAGATTCAATCGATTGCCTGCTTTCGCCTTCTGGCTGGCCCCAACCTACCTTTATAGTGCTAACAAGTGGTGAAGTGAAGTGATTATTTCACCTCTTTGCATTTCCTCCGTACCCCTTTGCCAGCCAATTGGCAGGAGATTAGGGAAGCCAGGGTGGCAGAGGAGGAAAAAAAGATTACGCCTTATTCAGGTGCGATAATGCTTGCATCCATCTCCAGAATTAGAGGATTAATTGACCAAAGGTGCAAAGAGTCAGAAGGCATGTTTAACGACGACATTGATTCTTTTACATTAAGAAGAAAAGAGCCTAGCCTACCAACTCCCTTCATCCTGTCCATCCTCCTTTACTTTATAGCCTTCAACATCCTGGTGAATGTGGGCGTGGTGCTGACGTACCCGATCCTCATCTCCATTGGGACAGTGCTCAGCGTTCCTGGAAACGCAGGTACGGGTATGGTTTGACACGTGCACAGTAAGTCTCCTGCTTGTGTTTGTTTTACACCCTCAGTTGTTTCTTTGAGCAGTTGTGAATTATGTCCCTTGCCTGGGAAGATGTTTTTAAATATCATGAAGGTGGCAGACAACAGAATAACTATGCAGCAGATTTTAAATTTGCAGCTACAAACACTGTTTTCACTTGGTCGTGCTTTCAGAATTAAACACCAAATGTATCATTTGGGCTTCATGTAATCTCCCTGACAACCTAATTTTGTGGTATTTTTAGAGGAAGTCCCGAGGAAACAAAAGGCATCCCAGCATAGGACTCGCAAGTAAACGTCACTAATGAAAGTGTGGGAAATGTACAGGGTGTTGGCTCCCCATCAGACTATCCATGGGGAGCTGCAGAAGCTTCTCCCAGGGGCAGAGCAGATGGCCCTCTGGGACAGATATAGGAAGAGCAGTTTGACTCACTTCAGGGACAAGGGGAGAAGCTATTTTTCCAGGATAATCTTTCTAGTGAAAGCTGTCAGTGGAACAAGTAATGAAAGTGGGTTATCTAGGTGACTGTACAGTCCTTCTAACTTTAAAATTCAATGTTTCCAAGTCTTAGGTAATCTCCTTTCTTTGCCCCAGGACAATCAGCAAATGTTGAGTGAGCACTTACTATGTGATCAGGACTGTAGGAGAGACAGGAAAAAAAAAATGGCATTATATAAGAAGCTTTCACTGAATTTGGAAAACAAGACCAACATACATGAAATAACAGAACTCTACAAAGTAATTTATTAGTAAATGCCAAATTGTGGGAGACAGACTCCAAGGACTATAAGATATTCAGAGGAAAGGAACATCAGGGAGGAGTGGAGTTATCAAGAAATTCATTCATTCATCCATGGATTCATTCATTCATTCATTCTGAGCGCTTGGTGTATGCCAGGAACTGTGCTAACATTGTTGATAGATGCCACCTGAATAACACACTCCCTGCTCCCAGGACCACGTAGTAGAGAGAGGGAGACAAAAGGAAATGAGTAATTACAGCGTAGAGAGAGAATTGCTTTGCTGGAGGGATGGACTGAATGCTCTGAGAGCACACAGGAGGGGCATCCAAGGCAGCTTCCTGCAAGAAGCCTAAAGGGAGAGACCTAACGAGGGTTTCGCTGGATGATGTGGACATGAGGAGGAAGGGCATTCCATGCAAAGAGAACAGCATGTGCATGACCAACAATTCCACTGCTAGGTACATACCCGAAAAAATGAAAACAGGGACTCAAAAAGATACGTGTGAAAGTGCATGGCAGCCCTGCTCACAACGGCCAAAAGGTGGAAACACCCAAATGTCCGTCAACTAATGAATGGATAAACAACCTGCGATATATACAATGAGATATTATTCAGCCCCAAAAAGGAGTAAAATACTAATACAGGCTACAACCTGGATGAACTTTGAAAACATGATGCTAATGAAAGAAGCCAGGCATAAAAGGTCGCATGTTGTGTGATTCCATTTAGATAAAATATCCAGAATACGTAAATCCATAGAAACAAACAGCAGATTGGTGGTTGCCAGGGGCTAGGGCGTGGGGGTGGGTGCTGCTTAATGGATGCAGAGTTTCATTTTGAAGTGACGGAGATGTTTTGGAACCAGATGGAGGTGGTGGTTGTACAAAATTATGAATGTACTAAATTCACTTTTAAATGGTTAATTTTAAATTATGTGAATTTCACCTCAATTAAGAAGTTTTAAAAGAACAGCATGTGCAAAGAACTAGACATTAACAGGTTTGGCTCATTTTAAACATCTTCAGTGGTCCAGTGAAACTGGGCAAGGGTGAAGGTGTGCAGAGGAAAGTCTTAAGAAATAGAACTGCAGAGGTAATTAAATCAGGTCACGTGAGCCTTGAAGGATAAGTATGATATAGACAGAAGGAAGAGAAAGCAAATGAAGGGAACAACATAGGTAATGGAATAGAAAAAGGAAGATGAGCTTGAAAGAACAAGGGAGACTTTTGGAAATCTCTGGAAGTAGCAGTGACTTTGTTCATGTGTTTTCAGAGCAGCTTAGAAACAGCCATAGACTGTGTCTGACTGGGTATTTCTGCCCTAGCTGTGGATCTCCTGAAGCAGGAGGTGATATTCAATGTTGTCCGCCTGGCTGCTACCATCATCATCTGCATTGGGTTTCTGCTGATGCTATTGCCTGAGGAGTGGGATGAAATTACCCTGAGATTCATCAACAGCCTGAAGGAGAAGAAGAATGAGGAGCATGTGGATGACATCACTGATTCCAGCGTACACCTGCGAAGCAGGAGCAGGGCCAATGGGACAGTGTCTATCCCACTGGCTTAAAGAGGACACATTTTGAATGCACGTGTATGTATATTCTGTGAATATAATAAAATTTTCTCGCTACCAGTACACTCAAATGACAGTATTAACTCTGAATTTGGATAAGTCATATGTGAAATAACGCCAAAATAAAAGTTTACATTTCTATGCTTATCAAGGAACTGGTGTAAATAATCATAATAAATTTTTTTATTAAAACATTTTTATCTTGCTCTATTTCTTCTGTTTTGGCGGTTTTCCCCCTTATTCACCAAATTTCCTGGAAACATGAGATTCTGTTAAGTTATTGGCTTGTCGTTACCATTTCTCACCTGGAATTGAGACCTTTTTGTTCCATCAGAGAATGTTGCATAAGAGGAAACCACAAGAAAAAGAGACACGCCTTGTATATATGTAAGTCCAATAGGAACCTTAAACTTGAAAGCTGGAAAGTAATTAAATATCAACAGTGTCTTCTATCCGCAAGACCCACACTAGGAACAATGAAGGTGTGAAGATATAGAAGACCCGTCAGTCCTTTCAATGTGCTTACAGTGGTAAGAGCCTATGAGAGTTTACAAATATCTCTAATATGAGGCAGACATTTGAAAATGGCACAGTGGTATGGAGAGGACAGCTGTTACCAGTCATCTCTAAAGTCCCTCACCACCAAGCTTTTTGAAAGAGGTGTTCATATTTGCTGTCACTTCTTCCTCCATTCCCGTTCATTCTTCAACCCACTGCAATCCACCTTTAGCCCAATCATCCTCTGGGAGTGCATGCACCAGTCACCAATGACCTCTCTCTTGCAAAATCATATTGACACCGTTCAACCCTTACTTTATTGTCCACTCTGCAGCATTTGACACAGTGACCACTCCTTTTTCCTAAAATATTCTTGTCACTTGGATCCCGTTACAGTCCCCTGGCTCTCTTTCTGCCTCACTGGCTGCTTCTCTGGGTTCTTCTTTCTAGGCTGGTCTCATCACTGTCATCATTGTCTTTGGCCTTCTTAGCATCTCACTCCACACTCTCTCCCTGCAGAATCCCATCTGCTTCCAATGTCATCCATGTAACGACGGCTTCAAAATCTTCATCTCCAGCCCGGATTTGTCCCTGAGCTTCAGATCTGACTACCCAAATGCCTTCTGCAAGCTCACTGGATGCCTCATTGTTCACACCAAATTCAAGACCAAAGTTGAATTTATCATCTCTCCATCCCAGATCTATTTCTTCCTCTTTCTTGTTCCCTGTCTAGGTTAATGATAATATCATTCACTAGCTGCCCAAGCTAGGGATCAACCTGTTAATCTGCCTCCTCCTAATGAACCTTCTGCCTCCCTCACCCTCCACACCTAAACCGTAAGTCCTATTGATTCTCTTTCTTAACATTTCTTGAATCTATACACTTCTCTGTATGCTACCTGTCCCAGGCCCCCATCATCTCTTGCCCTGATTAATGAAATATTCTCTTTACTGGTCTCTCTAAACTCCTGGTCTTGCCTCTCTCTACTCCCTTTGTAGCCTGCAGAGTGACCTTTCTAATAATAAATTTGATCATTCTACTCCCTTGTATAACACCCTTGAGTGGCACCTCATTGTCCTCAGAATAAGGTCCAAACACCTTGCATGTCATTCAGAGCTCATCACCAACTGGTGCCTGCCTGCCTCTAGAGAGGCATCATCTAATAGGACTTTCAGTCACGATGGAAATATTCTATGTCTGCACCGTCCAACATAGTAGCCTCAAGTGGCTACTGAGCACTTCAAATAAGGCTAGTGCTGTTGGGGAACTGCACTCCTAATTTTATTTACTTTCAATTAATTTGAAATTGGCTATCACTGGAGAGTGCAGCTCTAGAGCCTCATTCCACCACACCACGCTCTGCAGGCCTCTGGAATCTCTACGCTTTAGCGACACTACACTTCTTGCACTTCTTCAATCAAGACACGCTCTCTTTATATTCTCTCTCATCACCTGAATAATCCTTACCCGAGCTTTACAACATGATTTACTCGTATTTTCCCAGCAAGTCTTTTCTTATTCCCCAAGCTGCACAATGGGGCTTCCTTAGAAGGCTGTGCTTACCCCCATTATAGTACTGATCGCCCTGTGGGGTAATTGTCAATCTTCTTTTGGAGTTCCCCGTAAACCATGAATTTCTTGAGAGCAGAGGCTGTGTGGCCGCCATCGTTGTGTCCCAAGCATGGTGCCTGGCACTTACAGACATTCGGTAAATGAAGTCATGGGTTGCCTTTCACTGGAGATACACCCCCTCCCCCGAGTTAAGGACAGGCACTCGCATAGATGGGATTGGCTACAGTAAGGACCAGAAGGGGTTAAATGTGCCACGGCCTTTGTCATGTTTCCACAAAATACCAACTTGCTGAAAGGATAGAGGGCACTTCCTCCCTGAGAGGCTGGGTAGGACATCTAACAGTCTAAGTGAGACACTCCACTTTCTGGGAAATTTTGTGTGAGAAGCCAAGCCTTTCTGGCATCTGTTTTACTATTCTCTTTTTATTCAAGTGTCCCCAAAAGTGTAGGTGAGACAATCCCAGGGCAACAAAAGAGGACCCAGGACATCATACCTGGGCGTCATGGTAAATAAAAACCGTAATGTTTTTTCATTTCTCTGTCCCTTTTTGAAAAGGCAATGCCAGTCTCCTGGCATAGATAGATGACATGATATTAGCTAAAATAATAACCATGACACACTTTAAGCTTCATGAAAAATGGTACAAAATAAATGAAATATAGCATTAGTAAATATGAATTAATTCATTATCTAAGTAGAGTTGGCTTTGACTATTTAAATGCCATATTGGGACATTGCCCTCGCCTTGTTTTTAAATTACTGTTAAATAGCAGTAATCGCTGACTAACCCACTCCAGCATCTCGCCATTACTTAGCATGACATTTAAAATTGCATTTTGACACCTTTAAGAAATGAGTTGTTTTGCTCTTTTTGATGATTCATTTTGAAAAATGGAGTCAGCTACCCTGGAAAGCACTAATTCAACTTATGACTGATCACTGTAATTAGCTCAATCTATATTAAGAAAACACTCCTATTATGGTATTCATTCATTTATTCATTCAAAAATTATTCAGTTCGACTCGCAGCTCTGAAGTAAGGTATTTTGTTAGATCATCAGCAACTGGCCTCTGCCCGCCTCTAGAACAGCACTGTCGGAGAGAATTTTCTGCAGCCAGAGGAATGTTGTCTCTCTGCATTGTGGGGAAGGGGGTGTAAAATGCATAGGACGTGGTCCCTGAGTCCAGGAGCTTCAAACTCTAGGGGTAAGTTATTACCATGACAATGGAAATAATAACAACAACTCAGAAATTTACTGAAGTTGCTTTGGGAATGTGAGATATTCCCTTGAATTCAGGTAAAGTAATCATAAAGATGCTATCTTTCCTTGCTAGTCTTATGTTCATTGTGGGAGTCAGAGGGTATCATGTATTCCAGTCACTGAATGAATATGGCTGTGCCTCGCATGTGCCTACAATGTGCCTTCAACGAGCCAGGTTCAGCCAGGTTTTGAGGATACTGACAAAGTCTCTGCTCTCTAGGGCGGATGGAAGTGCCTTGTTGAGGTTACTATTATCTTGTCTCTTTCTCCAAACCTCGTCCCTTCCCAAAATCCAGGAGGCAATGGCTTCTGTGGGTGACTGAATGGCAGCTCAGTTCAGGGACTGAGAGCCCCCCACACTGCAGCCCCCACTCCACACCCGTTAGACGTGCAACTTTGGCTGATTACTAACCTCTCTCTGCCCCTTGATTTCATCATCAGTTAAATGAGGACAGCAGTACCTATCATTTGAGGTCATTGGGTATATTAAATAAAACCATGTGTTGAAGAGCCTAACACACTACCTGACAGCCCAGAAGTGCTAACTACTGTTACGGTTTCCTCTGTCCATTTGCCTCCCTCCAGGTCCGTATCCAGAGCCCTTATCCACAGCCCTCAGCCAAGCAAAGTCACAGAGCCTGGTGCCAAGCAGGGAATTGTACCCAAAATAAACCAGAGAGACAAAAGAAGCCTGGCATGAGGGACACTCGGAGGAAGCAAAAAAGGGTACCATGGCTCCATTTGCCTGGTCCCCTGGGCACCCAGCATGCGGCATTCTGGCCCAGTCAGTGGAACTAATTGCCTGACAAAAAGACAGACTGGCAACTTGGGCTCTGAAATTAAAATCACTTCAACCACGTCCTGGGCGCTTCACAAACAAATTATAGGCAAATCATTTTTGTTCATCCAGGCTTTGCATGCCTATTAATTTTGTGCAGGCACTTTGTCAAGATCCACCAGAGGACAAATGATTTGGAGAAGGACAATGCAAGCGATAAAAGAGTGAACAGTATAACCAGCCAAGCGTTAGAATGTTCCTGATATTTAAGTACAAATCCTCTTTCTTACCTATCCATAAACCCCTGTCACCAGTACAAAGAACACGTAGTACAGGCGATGCTGGTTTATCTGGCTGGCTAGAACAAGAAGTCTCTATTTCTAATTCCTTTTCTTTTTCTCCACCGACCTCCCCCCCCCCCCTGCCCCCCGCCCCACACCTGTAGCAATTGGAAGAGAAGTAAAAACGGGAGAGTACAGGAGGTGAAGGTGGGGCGTGCCAGTGCCAAGAACTAGAGGCAGAAAGAGCAGAAGCCCGTGTTTTAAAGCTCTGATTGACCAGTGTGCCCACACCTGTATGACACAAAAGCACAGGCTATTTTGTCACTGCTTGCTGGAGACGGGAACACGTGATTCTCCAGGAGTCTGAGCGATCTTAAGAGCAAGAATTCTAACTTGGGCTCCAGGGATGGGCTCAGGGGTTGTTCCAAAAATCTCTAACAGAGTTTTCAAAATAGTGTCAACTTAGCTGCTTTATTCTGGAAGGATAAAATCAGAGAATTCGGAGGCTCTAAAACCACACTGTTCCCTAAGTTAGCCACTACCCACGTGTGGCTGTTGAAATATGGCCAGTCCCAACGGAGACGTGCTTTCAAACGCTCTTGACTTTGAAAACTTACTATGAGAAAATGAATGTAGGCTACTTCATTAATAGCTTTACACTCATTACATGTTGAAATAAGAATATTTTGGTTATGTTGGATTAAATAAAATATATTCTAAAATCCCATTTCACCAATTTCTTTTTACTTTTTAAATGTAGCTACTAAAAATTTTAAAATTGTATATAAGCCTTGCATTGAT